ATAGGATAATATCCTCCTGACAGGAGACAATGAATTGGTGAGTGTAAAATGGTAATCCATATGCAGGTGAAAAGTATAGCACTTTTTAAGTCATATATTACAAATAAGTATAGCACTCTCCTGGCCGCAGGCCGCAGACCTCCCCCTTTTCCTGACACATCTCACCAGAGACCAGCTTTCTCCCACTTCCTCCTCCTCCCCTTGGAATCAATACATTTAGAGGTGCTTGGCTGGAGGCTGAGAGTGCATCTACAAAACAAGGCACCCAGAGAAAAAGCAAGTTGGGCTGGGGTGGGAGAGCAAAGATTGACATGTTGAGTAGAGGAGCCCAGTGTCATACTGAAGGAGGTGCTCAATGGGCAGCTGCTCTGGTCAGGGCACTAGGCCCTGCCTACATTCGCATATTAATCTGTGTTATCATCCAATTTGTGAGGCTGAGGGAGGAGCAGGGACTTGACTGGTAAGTGGTCTGGCTGTGACTGGAACCCTCATCTATCTGATTCCAAGATCTTATAGGCTCTCTTACACTTTCTGAAAATGCTACCTGGCACAGAGGCCTGTATGCTTCCCAAACAACGGAAAATTCTTTTACGGAGAGTTTAAGTTCTGCACAACCCATTTGGTCCATAATTTGAACCACAACTCTTTTTTGTCTGTAGGAGAGGAGGGAAGGGGATAGATCAGGCATCAGAAAATGTTTTCTCCACCAAAAAAAGAAAATGTTTCTCCAAGCTCTAGCAGGGTATATCAGTTGGTTAGAGCATTATCCGATATACCAAGGTTGAGGGTTCACATTCCAGTCAGGGCACATATAAAAAGCAACCAATGAATGCATGAGTAGGTTTAGCAACAAATTGATGTCTGTCTGTCTGTCTCTCTCTCAAATAAATAAATAAATAAATAAATAAAATAAAATGTTTCCCCAACACTTAACTCTGAGCCTCTATGTTCTGGGCTTGGTTACTGGAGGTTAGAGAAGCATAAGCCCTGAGTCTTGTAAGGGGTTCACCAAGGGGCTGGGCCCAGGTTTTAGAAGCCAATAGTTATCTCAGAGGCTGGTTCAGGGGGAAAAAATGACTGTCTGCAGGGGGAGGGGGGGTCAGGGAAAATTTCCAAGAGGAAGGCCCTGAAGGATGAGTGGAAGTTTGTAAGATAGTTTTGGGGAAAGTCACAGGGACACAGCCTAGAAGTGCAGTGTGTCCTGGGACAGTGAATACACTGGGCAACCAGGAAACTGAGGAGGGACGAAGGGCAGAGATAGTGAACCAACATGGGGCTTTCAAAAGAGAATGTTTGAGAAAAAGAACACTTGAAAGTGAAAGCTTGAGACCTTGGGGCTCGGGCTTAGGCTACATGGTCAGGTTAGCAGGGAGGGCCATATGGTTTCAGATGTGGCCAGATGTTCCTTGATCTTACGTTGAAGCCTGATCCAGTTCTGGGGAACCCGCTGGGTGTGTGTGTGGTGGAAGGGAGTGGAGAAGGAAACAGTTTATGGACCCATCAGAAGGGGTGATTGTGGAAGTCATCAGCATTTGGGATTGATTACCAAAGGCCTTCCTGTCTCTCCTAAGACCTGGCTGTTTAGTCAGATGCTGCTCATGTACAGTCGGGATGAAGATCTCCCACCAGGTGTTGGGCTGGGAGCTTGGCTTTGATTAAGTGAGGCTTCCTCTCTGAAATATAGGGGTAGTAACAGTGCCCATCTCAGGGTTAAATCAGAGGGTGTCTTAGAAAGTAGCTGGCACAGAGGAGGAGAAGCCCCAATCCTGGGAAATCCCAAGGCCAGGCCCCGGTCAGGGTGTTTCCAAAGCCAGGATCCATCTCTTCTGGACACTGCTGGAATGAGCTTTCTACTGCACAGATGCAAGCCTGAACTTGCTCCCTAACTTTTCATGGCTCCCTACTGCCCTCCAGATAAAGCCTAAATTCTTTAATTTGGCCAACAAGGCTCTGCACGGACAGGCTCCTGTGGCCTTCCCCATCCTTGCTTGAGGCCTCTTACTGACCTCTCAGTCCCCCCATCCTACTAGCTTCTGGCCACTCTGAACTGTGGTCAGTTTCTCCAAAGCCCGTTGTTTCTCTGGGCTCTTCCGCTGGAATCTCTATGTTGTCCCCTTCTTTTCTGGCTATTCCTGCATATGATTCAGGACTCCCTCTGGATGCCATTTCTGGGAGGCTTTCCCTGACTGCCCCCAAGGCCTCCCCAGTTCCCTCAGCACCTCTGGTTTCCTTCTCAGTGCTCAACTTTCTGCCCTGTTATTACTCACCTGTCCCCACAAGGCTGTGAGGGGGAGCTCAATAAGTATCTAGTGATGTAATAAAGTGGCGGGGGGGGGCAGTTCTAAGAAAAAAGGGGTCTGGCTGCTGTGGCTCATTCCCCTGCACCGAAAGGTCTCAGGTTCGATTCTCGGTCAGGGCACATGCCTGGGTTGCAGATTCAATCTCCAATAGGGGTGCATATGGGAGGCAATGGATCAATGTTTCTCTATCAATCATGTAGATGTTTCTTTTTCTTTCCCTCTCCCTTCCTCTCTCTCTAAAATCAATGGAAGCATACCCCCGGGTAAGGATTAAAAAAATAAATAAATAAAGGAGTCACTGTACACTGGCCAAATGTCTTGACAGGTATCTATGTCAGCAGGGTAGGAATTCACAGTCATCATAATTTAAAGATGAGGCTAAGTTAATCTCATTTTGCTTGGCTGGTCCTCGCACACAGACCTTGCACATAGGAACCTCCTTCTTCAGGGTACCTCATTGTCTTCAACAGAAGGAGAAGCCCCGGGGAACGGTGCCCTCTCACCACTCTGGCTCCAGGGGGCATCTTCCCTTGGAGAAAGCCTGCTGGTCGTCTGGGAAGGGCCTGCAGCCCCGCATTACAGTGTGCTGAGGCCCTGGGGTGTGCCTTCACCCTGGACGGAGGGCCGTGCAGGGCAGGAGGCTGGGGCACCTTGAATGCCAAGCCTGGTCCGGGGAAGATGGGGACAGACGGCTGAAGGAGGGAGTTTAGGGAGCTCCGCGCCGATGCTGCCGCGCGGGACAACGCCCAAAGTCGCCTTGCCCAGGTGGGCTCCCGGGTGAGACGTAAGGGCCGTGGGTGATCGTGGGTGATCGCTGCCCAGACGACAATGATGTCCATTTACCAAGCTCTGGGGGCAGCGGCAGTCACGTGGCTCTCGAGGGCGGTGCTCCCGGCTTTTTAGATGGAGTTCACGCTAATCCCCGAAGGCTTTCTGGAGGAGGTGGGACGGTTGGTGGTGGTTGGTTGTGGTTCTCTCTGAACAGTGAAGATGCACTTAGCTCTCTAGGAACCAGCTAGATCCCTAGGTGAGCTTTTTGCCGGGGAGCAAGCCCAGGGGGCTGGGCCGGATTGGGGTAAGGACCTGGGGAGCTGGACTGGCGAGGTCAACCGAGGCTCGGGTTGCCCGACCTGCCCCTGTGCTTTCGTGGGTGACGGAACCAACCGCGGCCGCGCTAGGCCGGTGCTGTGGGGGCCGCGAGCGCTGGGTGCAGGCCTGGGGGTCCGGGGCGCCAGAGAGCAGAGCGCCCCGG